TCTGGCTGGCCAGTGAGTTCTGGGGATCTGTCTGTCTCCCTCTACTTCAGCTCCAGAGTTACAGACATGAACCCCAGCTCTGGGCTTTTATGTAGGTGCTAGAGATCCAAATATGGCTCCTCATGCTTGTACAGGAAGCACTCTACCAACAGAGACATCCCTCCAGGCCCTTGTCAGTTTCTCTTTACCAATCTCCTCTTCACCTTTCTCCTTCCCATTTAAAGAGGTCCCCTGACCAATCTTGCAGCTTCATTTCATCGGCACAAGCTAAGAAGGAAACGAAGGTAGGGGATAGCTGTAAAGAGCTGGTCTCATTTGCGCTGGTCATCAAAGATCAAGAGAGGCAAGGGAGTCAGATGAGAAGGATCAGACGGGCTAAGCAGACAGCCACTGACCACAGAGATCCAAACGCCCAGAAAACCAGACAAAAATTGGAAACATCCTTGTTGGCCAAAAAGCCATATGCTTTGGGGCTAGGACTGGAATACAGGCCAGCTGATGTGAAATGTGAAATCTTGGAGGAGTAGAGGGCAGACTGGGGAAGTCATTCTACCTATAGATACAAGACTCATCATCTAATATAGCCTTATGGTCATTTAACTTAAGTCCAATGAATGCTTCATGGTGGCCCTGTGGAGGGCTAAGAAAAGATGTATTTCTTTCCTTGCTGGGTTTTGGTTGGGTCTCCTTTCCATTCCTTTCAAGTGAACCTTGGCCATGAAACTTTCTTCGGCTACTCAGCGTGAGCTGTGCAGACCCATCTCTTGTGGGCAGAAGCTTCGGGAGCCATCTCTAGATTCTTTTAACATCTAAGCTGTCATGGCAATAGCAGTAACAAGTACGAGAACTGGCATTTCCTTCCATCAAGCAGGTAGACTCAAAAAGGGAGACTCTCTACCAGCCTACACAGGTGCGAAGGGTGATGAAAAAGCCTGCCTGACACATATAGCACATTTGTTCCTACGTAGACAGAGAACACCCCATTTCCTCGCATGCACAACTTTTTAAACGCGACTGCATATCTTACATGCCTTAAGCCCTTCGCCTATGGTTGCCTCGTTTACTGAAAATATAGTGAAATCCAAACTCAGGTCTATCTAACCTTTATTTACAACCACGTTAGCAAGAGCCAATGAATTGCACACAGAAGAAAGCAAGGCTTCTCCTTCATCAATATAACCTGGAGACTCACGTAGCTGGCATAAAATTGTCAACTGTGCAGTTCAAACTCACCTCACCCTCTTTCCAAAAGAAAAAAAAAGTATATAGATAGATAGATAGATAGATAGATAGATAGATAGATATAGATATAGATATAGATATAGATATAGATATAGTAGAAAGTTCAAGAACAGCATACAGTACCAAATGACATTAAATGTCATACTGTCCTGTGAGACAATCAAGAGCTTCAAAGGTACCCAACCTAGGGAGATTCTGGGGGTGGCACATGCCCAGGCTGCTTAGCTAAATCACAGTTCTTTCTATTATCCCTCAAGACAAATACTAGAATCCTACAACAAATAAGACTTCCCTTGCTTCTCAAGCCCACCGTTCCCCAGAGCCATAGGAATTCGGGAACAGGAGACAATGCGAAATACTGTAAGGCAGTGGTTCTCAACTTGTGGGTCACGACCTCACAGGGGATCACATTTATATTATGGTTCGTAACAGTAGCAAAGGTACAGTCATGAAGTAACACAATAGTTTTATGTTTGGGGCGTTACCGCAACAGGAGGAACTATGTTAAAGGGTCATAGCATTAGGAGGGTTGAGAACGCCTGCTCTAAGCATCCAGAGCCTCACTCATAGCAATATTCTATATGCAACCGAAATTTTCTCTTTCCTCGGTATACAATCAGAGTTTGAAACTATAAGTTCACAGTACAGAACATAACCTTCTTGCACATTCTAATTGTGATTTAGGAATGAGAAAATTGCCTACATATATTTTTTTTTCCTGTCTTTTAGTTGGTTAAGTCAGTTTTTTAAGACAGCACCTCATTTCGTACCCAGGCCGGCTTTGGTCTCCAGATCCTGTTGTTTCACAGACATGTGACACTATGTCCGACCATGTATTTATTTCCACTCTGTGACCCCAGATGACCCCAGAAACACTAAGTGGCACCGGCTGTTCTTTTTTCAGCACCCCAGTACTGAGATTATAGGCACGCACCATCACAACCACTTATTTACTTATAAATCTTCATTTTAGGTATCAACTAACTAATAAGAAGAATCAAGTTTAAGATCAATTGAAAATGTTCTAATCAAACTCATGTCGCTTTCTTCTTGCACAGCCTGAGATTCATCTCAGGTCTTTCAGCCAAAGTAACAGATAACGTACTCTCACTTTTAGCAGAGGGGATAGAAATACATTATTTAGCTGTCATTTTATACCATGCTATTGACTTTCAGATTAAGCCGTGCCTCTAAAGTCTGGCTAGAATCCACACACTGCCACATTTCATCTCGGGGAATCCCGTTACTGTGATGACTAAATGTATGTGTCATTCAAACTCATAATTTATTTATTCCATTAATATTTAGATTGGCTTTCAAAGCACCAAGCAACTGAATAGGCTGTTTTAAGGCACATAATCTCCATCATAACTATTTCTTCATTTTTTTCAGAATAGTAAAAATGGTGGTCATCCGTTTGACCAGACAGACCAGAGGAGTGGTTTTTAAGTTACCCTCGACTTTCTATGACACCCTCAACTTTGTCCCTGCAACATCTAAACTAAAAGCTGCCACATAGCTTCCGCATCCTGTTTATAATGAACTTAATGTGACATTTTCGTGCTTTATGTAGCAACTATATGCCGGGTTACATTTGTTACAGGCTTTTCAATCTCACATACTGAATTACAAATTAACAGCAATTTGCCGAAATATCACAGCTGAGGAAACAGGACATAAAAATACCGAGTGCTTGAGTTCGAATAAAATTTGTATCTTTATATGGCTTTAACTCTTCATAACATGCTCATAAATCTTGGAGAATTAATTCATTAATTAATGAATTAATGCTAATTCATTAAAGTGTTAATATTTCAAAGGGGCCAGAGAATATACCCAAAACCATTTGATACAAAAGCTCTGTTTTTGGCTGAAGGTAAATGTAGAAAAAGATAGACCATACACCTCATATAAACATAGTTTAAAAAGCAAAACAAATGATACTCTGATTTAAATGTCAAATGAGGCACATGATTTTTTTTTTTTTTAAACGAATGCAATGGGGGCATCTGAGTGAGAAGGATTGCCGATGCTCAGACACTGGCAAATAAGCAGGCCTCCCTCTGCTTCAGCTCTCATTCTCAGCAGAGCCAAGCATCCCACACTTAAAGCAGAAAGGTGAAGCTTCTGTGCCCCATGAGGTAGAACTAATACGCTCAATGCAAATCAAAAAGTGGGAAAAAAATATTTCAGTATAATGCATGCAGCAGCATCTGTGACCCGGGATGACGTACAAAAGGTTGCACTATTGATTTTTCAGTAAGAGTAGAAAAGAAATGGGGCAGACGATAGCAAGCACTGCAAATGAACACACAGTTATGATTAAAGGAAAATGAAGTAAGCGTGTTCTGTCAGCACTCTGAGGCCAGAGGCTGGGGCCAGCTTTCTCATGAGCATACCGAGCTACGGTACAGGAAGATGCTAATTCCACCTATCCTCTATAAACTCCAGGCACTACTGATTCCTTCAAGGACCATCCTGGAGTGTTTTTTTTTTTTAAAACAGGTATTGCTGTTGCCTTCCGAACAACCAGTTCACACTACCTAGCAATCCTTCAGCGACCTCCCCTGTCTTAAGGGTCTAAAGCATCCTTTTGGTTCTCTCCACGCAAAACAGAGCCTGTTACTCAACTCAACCAGGAACTTTAAATAAGGGCTTTAGAATTAGTCATTGCTGTCATTTAATCAGGCCCTCAAAAAGGCACGGGCTGTCCTTTGGGTCTCTAACACAAATACCCACTTCCACACTTCTTCCCAGGGACAGTGTTGGTGAGGCAAAGCTCAGGAACAGGAACGGCTCTGGTGGCCGGATGGGAGTCAGGTGCTACAGCGCTGAGGGATGCATGTGTTTCCAGAGTTTTCCATCTTATCTTTTTTATCATTATTGGTGTGGTGACCCAGATACCAGTAAACCTCCATAAACCACCAGCAGACTCAGTTTGGATTCTGCAGGGCTGGTGAGGTTAGCCGCAGCTCTCGACTATGGCTGGCACTTAAGATTCTTAGTTTCATTTCAACATTTGGTTAAGGAAATACTGACCGGTTGGGCTTTTTAAGTGTGATTTTCCAAATGGTCCTTGTTGAAGGACTTGTTTTGTTTCTAGAATGGTCAGTCTTAGGCAGTCAGCCCCAGAGCCAAAGACCCAAGTTCTCAACTGTGAGAGAAAAGGGGGGATCCACACACCAGGATGGGTCCCCGCTCGGCAGAGGGGCAGATTGCCAAGGACCTTCCCAGCGTAGATTTTGTCTCCACTTGGGCTCAGGTGGAGAGGTTCCCTAAAAACTCCTGCTAGCATCCCAGCCAACACTGTCAAAAGCTCGGGATCGCCAGCGACAACTTTATTGCAGCGTTTTGTTTGTTTGTTTGTTTTTTTCTGCACTGGGTGAAACAGCTTCAAAGAACCAGGTAAACATCCCACCGGAACCCTCCGTGCGCAAAGCCCTGTCCCACGCAATCAACCACTCTTCTCACAGGTAACCCCAGGAACCCGGTGCACATGAATCCTACAGGAAAGGAGCCAGTCAGGAAGTCTCCAGGATGCCGGGACCTGGGGTACCTTGAGAGCGAATCTTTCTTTCCTCCATGCAGTTGAGTCATTAAGCAAAAAAGTGCAGGGGGTGCCTCAGGGTTGACAGACTGTCCAAGCACCCTGGCCTTGGGGGCAGGCCGCCCGCTGGGGGTCCCCTCTAGAGTTCCCTACACCCCTAGCGCTGCATGCCCCCCGACCACCTAGACCCCTGGGAGCGAGTGGCCCTTACGTGTTCGAGCTTATCTTTCCTCCGGAGCCAGACGCTGGCGCTGTAGTCCTGCTGCTTGACACTGCTGTAGAAGTTCGCGCCCACTCGGGTCAGGCTGGGCGAGGGCTCCTTGGGGCGGCTTTTCAACCTCATCTGCTCGAAGCCCTCGTGGGGGGAGGCCGAGAGCCACTCGTGCTGCCGGATCTCCATCCTGACATGACCAGGCGGCGGCCCGGAGAGCAGCCCGCTCGGGATGGGAGCAGGGCGCCGCCGGCGAGCGAGAGGCCGGACGGGCGGTGAGGATGGAGCCGAAGGAGAGAGCTGGGAGCTCGGGGTGCCTATCGCCCTAGGGTGCTGGCCAGCGGCACGGGAGCGGGGACAAGGGGAGGGGGACGGAGGAGGGAGGGGGTCTCAGGGCAGGGGATGGGAGAAGGGATGGGGGGAGGGGGCGGATGGTGGTGGGGGTAGACGGGACAAAGGGAGACCGGGGAGGAGTGGACGCCTGCTCGGGAGCGGCAGGGGTGAGGGTGCAGCGGAGGTGGCTGCGTTGTCGCCTGCCACTGCGGTCCCGGGCGGGAGCTCCGCTCGCGGCTGCTCCGCACCAACTGTAACCCGGGCACCGGGGCGGGCGGCGGCGGGGGTGGGGTGCGGTGGGAGGGGCCCAGCGGCCGAGCCGGAGCCCGCAGGTTGATGCAGTGGGGAGCAGCCCGAGGCGAGCGCTGAGCGAGTCCAGCCACCGCCCTCTGCGCGCGCCTCTCCCCAGCCGGCCCGCCTCGCCCTCGCCCTCGCCCTCGCCCGCACCGGTTCTCGCAGACCAACCACCGGGCGAGCGGCTTGGCGAAGTGAGCGCGGTCCGTGCGATGGCTAGCGAGGCGCGGGAGGACGGCGCTCCGGGAAGCCACCTCCTCCTCGCAGCGCCGCTCCACCGTCTACCCTCGCTGGGAAAGTTCACTAACTTCCCACCTAGGGAGCCCAGGCACCTCACCCCGGGGGATTCGGCCGGGAGTGTCCGCAGAAAAGAGCGTAGAGGGCGTGTGTTTGGAGAACCTTGCTCTTGTACTTCATCTGAGGATGACGCGACGCATGCCCCTCCACCAGGCAGCGTGGCCCTCTCCTGTCCAGCTTGTGGGACCTGTCACTCCTTAGCTCTCAGGGTCCACCTTGAATCAGGCTCCCCGGGGCTGTCCGGACTCTCTCTCTGGGGAGGCGATCCAGCACCGGTCTACACCGTATGCTTAGACTGTTTCTAACCTGTGTGTGTGGCTGGCTACTGTGCGGTTCTCTCTGCAGCTTCTAGGCTCAGGAGGGCTTTTCCACCAAGACCAGTGTGAAAACAACCAAGCCCAAGGATTACGGTGGCGCGTCGAAAATTGAATCTTAGATTCTCTCTCCTTCGCTCTCCCTTGTAGTCAATGGATGAAAGCATTTCTGGCTTGTTGTTTTAATCAGAAAACTGAAACTTAACTGTTGTTAAGGCTTGCCTTGCGAGGCTCTGGGTTTTAAAAGCCTGGAAAGTCAATATAAATTCGAGACGCACCCAGGGGAGTGGGGTTGAAACAGCTCAGAGGGCAAACTTACCCAGCCCTTGCCGGTACTCCTACACACCCCCAAGAAACACCCAACATTCTTGCTCAGATGGTGGTTTCATAGAAAGATATGCCAATTTGGAATCTGTCAAACTTGTGAAGACAACGGTGGCCGATCTATTCAGAGTCCTCATTTCCTAAGATTGACTCAGGGAGGGGTATGCCAGGAGACAGAGCCCCGGCTTTGCCAGGCCCTGGCTCACACTGCCTTTCCAAATGCGGTGCAAAAATAATGGTTGAAATAGAAACCCGTGGGCAGTCCATGTGAGCAAGGAGCAACTGAACACAAACATACAATTTTTCAGTCTTAGCATCTAAACTGCTGGGCAGGGTGACCTATGGATTGTTGCTAAACCTCACATCTAATTCTGCAAGATAAACGTTATGAAGCCCATTTTCCAGACAGGGATCTGAGGCGGCAGGAGAAATCACACTTTCAAACACAAACACCTGAGCCAGGCTTTGAAAAACCGTGAAGCCGAAGTTGTAGCTTAGCCAACTGCTCACCTAGCAAGGGCGGGTCTTGACTCCAATCCTTGCAGCAATAGAGTGAGAATGGCCTACATTCCATTGTGTAATATGAAGATTATATACTATAATAATATTTCATACTATAATCATCTACCATATTATTTATCATCTCTCAGTTTTCACTATTACAATTTTTAAGAATAAACAGAGTCTAAGTGGATACAATTAGATACAATGGATACAAGCTGTCTGCCCTTCTGGAAAGAAGCCTTCCCCACACCTTGACATGTGATAGATTGCCAACTCAGAGTAATAATGCAGCGATGGAGTGCCTGACCACAGAGGAATTTAAATAAACACTTTCCATATTAAGCCGGTTTTTTAGTTGAATGATTTTTGGGGAATTGAACTCAGGACCTCTGAAAGAGCAGTCAGTGCTCTTAACCACTGAGCCATCTCTCCAGGCCCCGAGATGAGTGGCTTTTTAAATTATGCTTTTATAGGGGAAAACACTGTGAAAGTTTCTATCATCTCCAGTTTTTCAAGACTGCAAAAGAAGTGTGTATCACTCCCTACCTGTGCCAGTAAACTACTGAACCGAGCGTTGTCATCAACACACAGATGTTTGCTGTATTAAAAAACTATCAGGCAAAGCATGAATTCCCACGGCTTCCTGCTCACCCTTATTACTGAGGCACACCAGGAGGAAAGTGGACTCAGTGAGTCCAGTAGGTACCTGCATTTTCTCTCACAGCCTTTTCTCCTATCTTTGACTCTGGTTCAAGCTTATTGTTTGTGACAGTAGGACCTTTCCAGCTGATGTTCAAAAGAACATTTTATATCAAATTGAATTGGATTCCAACTACTGGAAGGAAGAAAAATATTTCTAAAGATGACCAGTACTAAAGGATTGCAGCAAAGGGAGGAATATTAGGAGAGGATTGGCATTATGGAACTCACACAGCTTACTCCCAGAACACTTATTCCTAAGCATTTTCACAGCACTTTGGTCTCTTGAATGCACTCTAAGTACTGGGCATAACTTATCCTACCAGCTCATTGGCTGCTTGCAAGCTGGAGCAATGAACGCATGGTCCTTTACTCTGCTGATGGCACCTCCCTGGTAATGATCACATAATAAACCATACAGAATAGATTAATGAGTACTAACAGTGAACAATCCATTTTTACTACTTTTTCTTTGAAAGGATTCAAAATTAACAATACTCAGAGTTTAGAGCCAGCTAGATGGCCCAGTATATAAGAGCACTTGCCACCAAGCTTGACAACTTGAGTTCAGTCCCTGAACTGCACATGGTTGAAGGAGACAACAAACTCACAGGACCCACCCACCATGGGGCCCACTCACCACACACACACACACACAAGCAAAATAAATACTCAGATTTTGGAGCCACCTCCTTGAATTGCTTAGTTATAAATTTCCCAGTTTTTACTTGGTTTCCGTTAGCTTGGAGTTCATAAAATGAATGGGGACGTGCTGATCAGCTTTCTGTCACTGTAAGACATACCTGAGGTGGTCAGAGTATGAAAAGAGGGAAGGCTTATTTGGATTCGATGTTGGAGGGCTTGGTCCGTGATTAGTTGCCTGCACTGTTGGGGCCTGCGGTGAAGCAGCATATCACAGCAGATGGCAAGCCGCTCACCTCCCGGTGGGGAAGGAAACCAAGGAAGAAGCACCTGCTGAGCCTCCATACCCCCCTCTAATGGCATCCCGCTAATGACCACAATACTTCCCACAGGCCTCCGTTTCTTAAAGGTTCCACCACCTTCCAATGCTGCCACAGGCCCAGGGCACATGTCTTTAAGCAACATGGACCTTGGGAGAAACTCTTATTATATTTTTTTAAATTTATTTTATTGTGTATACAATGTTCTGCCTGCATATACAGCTGAATGCCAGAAGAGGGCACCAGATTTCATTATAGATGGTTGTGAGCCACCATGTGGGTTGCTCAGGACCTCCTCTGGAAAAGCAAGCAGTTCTCTTAACCTCTGAGCCATCTCTCCAGCCCGAGAAACTCTTATTTTAAAACACAGTCAAGGAATAACTGCTGCTCGTTCCAGCGATCGCTCTGGGAAGAGAAAGAGAACTACAGCGCTTGTATTGTTCTTAGAACTTTCATGCACCGGAATGTTCTCTGCGTTGTTGTAATGATGGTTATCTTTTCCTTCCACAGTTCCACCATCTGAGTAATCGCAACTGTTTAGTTAGTGCATTCAGCCACAAACTCACATCTAGGAGTACTTTATCTTGCCAAAACTAAGATATTAGCTATTAGCTACTTGCTCCATTACACACACACACACACACACACACACACACACACACACACACACACGTCCGAGGTAGAAAATTAAAAGCCCAGGACCCTTAAATAACCTGCTGTCTAGTAAGTCACAGAGTGTGAGATAGAAAAGGCAGGCTCACTGACTCTAAATAAAGATTCAGCCCCTATCATTTCAGATGGGAAAACCCCAGATGACTATTTCTTCGTGTATGTATACGTGTGTGGGAATGTGGAGCCCCAAAGGCCACACTGGCTGCCCACCAGTGTCCACCAGCTGCTCTCCACCAGGTTCTCTTCACTGAACCTGGGGCTCACCTGTTCCGTTAGACTTCCTGGCCAGTGAGGCTGGGATCCACTTGTCTCTGCTGCTATCCTAGAACTGGGGTCACCGACATCCCCCCCCCCGCCAAGTTTTTTATGTGGTTACTGAGCATTGAAACTTTGGTCCTTCTGGCTGTGTGGTAAGAACTTTACCCACTGAGCCACCGGCTCAGCCCACTTCTTAATGATGGTGTGTTTTATTTTTTGCTTGTATATTTTCATTACGTATCATTGTTTTGTTTTGTTTTTTTTCCAGAGGCTTACTACTAGGTAATTTTTTAAAAAACTTCAATAATTCAATGTTTCCTGACAAATCCTAATTACTGTTACACTATGCAAGTCTGTGCTGAAAGGCTGTCTTAAAACCAACAAACAAAAAACATATGTAACAGCTAAGATGGCATTGCTTTTCAAAATAGATCTTAATTATAAGCTTATTTCTGTGGAAAATTTAAGCAAAGCACTCCTATTTGAGTAAAAGTAAAGTGTCCCAGATTTAAAATGTTTTCTGAATGGATAT